CGGGTGGAGTACATAGTAGGAGACCAAGTGATGGTTAAGCTACTACCCCAACAGTTTAAGTCCTTTCGGAGCGTGCATAAGGGTCTAGTAAGGAGGTACGAGGGCCCGTTCCCCATCGTCAAGCGGGTGGGCAAGGTCTCCTACATGGTGGAGCTTCCACCCAAGTTGAAGATACATCCAGTCTTCCATGTCAGCATGCTCAAGCCTTATCATGAAGACACGGAAGACCTTACTCGGAGCATATCGCATAGGGCACCCACGGCCGTTGTCACATCCTTTGACAAGGAAGTTGATTGCATCCTTGCAGATCGTGTGATGAGCAGGAGAGGTGTGCCCAAATATACTGAGTATTTAGTGAAGTGGAAGAACCTGCCAGATAGCGAGGCGAGCTGGGAGCATGAGGATACACTATGGCAGTTCGCAGAGCATATCCAGCGGTTCAAGCAAGAAGACGCGACGAGGGCGTCGCGAGCTTAGGTGGGGGAGAATGTCACACCCCGCTACCAAGAGGCTATGCCACGCAGGCGCCACGCAGACGCCCAGCAGACGATGACATGGAGCCTGCATGGATTGGAGCTTTCTAGACTTCTCTACACAAGTATGGAACTTTCCGGAATTCTCTAGATTAGTGTGGAGTTGTCTAGCCTTTTCTAGACTTGTCTAGAGTTGTATAGAATTCTCTAGAATTCTCTAGACTTGTCTTGTACATAGTAGATAGTTCTAGAGTTGTGTAGATATTTCTGGAGGATTCTAGACACTAAATCTAGGCCACACATTTGTACACATCTAGAATGTTCTTGTAAGGCCAAAGGCCTATAAATAGGAGGTGGGAGTTCATTTGCTCCTCACCAAGCAACCAAGTTGTAATCTCTCCTCTCAAGTAATACAAGTTCTATACATTCCCAAACTCTCTTGCTCACTTGCCTAACCTCTTCCTACACACCCAAGTAAGCAAAACACTTGTCTAGCCTTAGTCTTCACTAAGCTAGCACACTCGGGTAGGCTGACTTAGCGCTTCAAGGGGGCTTGAAAGTGTCTAAGGCCGCACGGTAGCTTGAAAAGGTTCAAGTCCGTGACAATAGGGTCGCCAGTGTGGTAGCCCGCTCACAAGGTGGTCACAATCCACCCCCTTGGAGGCCCGACGTCCTCGTCGACACACTTCCGGCTGGGTCAGGCTCTGATACCATTTGTAATGACCCTCTCCACCACATGGTATGATATTGTCCGTTTTGGGCCTGAGCCCTCACAGTTTTGCTCTTGGGCTTTACCCCAAAAGGCCTCGTACCAATTGGAGATGACACACTTACATATAAGCACTTCACCTTTCCTCTACCCAGGCGATGTGGGACTGTGCACCCGTAGTTTGCTAGTGTGGTAGCCTGACAGTGTTTCTCGCACTCGCCCACAGCACACCCGCCCACAAGATCGTCACAATAAGCTTATACTATATTATTTATACTATATTTTCATTTCCATTCAGCCTTCATACCAATATAAATTTAGGTTTTTCTCTTTAAATTTATCTGCTATATATATATATATATTTGAGAATTATATTGTGTATTCATTTATTTGGTTTTTATTGATTTTCATTTTATATAGATTTATTAAAGGGACATTGAGACGTTCTAAGGAGATTCAATCAGAGAGAGATTCTATATTGTAATAGAATAGCCAATAGAGAACTATACTCATTTATTTTCTGACATTTATTTAATAAAATTATTGTTATCGCATTTATTTTAGTTCCAGGTTTCCCGAAATCAAAATTTGTGTGTACATAGGGCATTTTGTTTGGCTACCAGAGCAAACAAACAGACTGCAGCCTCTCTCTCGACGGTGCAAGAAACACGCAATAAGAGAGACTAGGATTTTTGACGGATGACTGATTGGTTAAATGGAAATAGCTAAAAAAAAATATAGGAAATGAAATTTTTTTTAACACTTTGAAAAGTTTGATTCTACTTTCTGAGTAATAAAAAATTAAAAAACCGATTTAATTTCCTTTTATGACCTTGTTAGTTATTTATCTGGACTATTTTAAATTTTCTTCTATAGACTTCATACAATTACGTCCCTTATGTTGTGTCTAGATGACTCAACTTATCTTTATTTATTTATTTATACTAATTGTTCCTAAATGCAAACATGTAAACAATATTTATCTCTATTAACCCGTTAGCCTTATAATTGTGTCCAATATTATGGCTAAATATAAGTAATTATATTATTATTTTTAATAGTTTAACATTTTACTATGTCTTTGCTAAAAATGAATATAAATTCATCTAACATAAATTTGTTTATTATTATTTTTTTACTATTTAAAATTATAAGGCTTGTTTTGATAATTAAAATTATTTTCTTTTCTTTTTAATGATATTTAAACTAACAAAACGATATTTTTTTACAATTTTTTTAAAAAAATTCCCTAGTAACCAAATGCATACAAAAAAACTTGATTTTCCTTTATTTTACTTTACTTTCTTTCACTTCACTTTCCAAAATAATTTTCTGTCTAATTAAACCGACATAAAGGAAGTTGGCATAAAGGAAGTTGGTGATTTAATGACTGGGGAGTTGGCGACCAAAACCCCGGTGACCGTCGTAACTATAACAGTCCTAGGATAGTGAAATCCCTTGTTGGGTAAGTTCCGACTCCCACAAAAAGCGTAACGACCTGAGAACTATTTTGAAGAGAGGCTCCATGAAACAATAACTCATTATTAACTCATTTATAAATTGTCATAAATGGGTGAGTCAACCCATACCCAACCCCGATGACCTCAATATTTTTTTAGATTCATTTAGCATGTTTTTTATTTTTTGAAAAAAAAAATTACTATTTCATGATTTTCATAATTCACAATAAAATATTACAGTTTACTTTTTATTTTTTTAAATAAGGTAACAGGTGTAAATAAATTTATATTAATTAAATATTTTTAGTTTATCCAACATTAATGAGCATTGTGGTGGTAGGTTCTCACTACTCAAAATACAAGGGTCCAGGGTCTGAGTCCCCCTATATATACTTGGGCAAAAACAAACATAAGTGGGGTGTATAATATAGTTGTACAACCAACATGCTGGTAGCAAGTGAAATTGAAGGATAGTAAATTGAATTTTTAGTAGATGCATTTAGCATGAATTTTAAATAATAAAAAAGTTGTAGTAAAGTACTATTTCATGGTTTTGATAATTCACAAAAAAAAAAAAAAAAAAAAAAGAAGAAGAAGAAGAAGAAGAAGAAGAAGAAGAAGAAGAAGTACTAGGTGCAAATAAATTTATATTAGCTGATTATTTCTAGTTTCTTTTTTAAAAATAAAAGCTTTTAAATAAATAATTTTGTAAGACATATGGAGAGATATAGAATATTATAATATTTTTATGAAAAGTTATGCATAATCATATTTTAATTGTAGTATAAATATTTTTTTATAAGAAAAAACACTTATCCGATTGGTTAAATGGAAATAGCCTCAAATAGGATAGCCAAGAAAAAGAAAGGAAATGAAAAAAAATTAGAACACTTGTAAAATTTTGGTTTGTTTTCAGATCATGATGTAACAATTTATAGTAAGTAGATGTGCGTCATGATATACGGGGAGTTAGAAAAATGGCAGAGACATTTTTGGATTCAAACAATAGTTTGAACAGAGGCTTCATTCCTCCACTTGCCCATCAATATGAAAGTCTCCATTCTCCAACTTGCATCACCACTGACGCAGTTCACACAAAAAAGACAATTGCTAACAATTAAAAGATGATTAAAAAGATTTGCAGCCTCTCCAATTGATGGTTTCGGCACTAACAACACTTGAAAAGTAGCTTAATTCAAATCAGGTCATAACATACACACAGAAATCACCAGCATCAATGCCGTACTTTTCACCACAATGTGGTACCACATTTTCTCACTAGTAGTCATCAACTAAAAAGAAAAGGAATAATTAAAGTAAGGACATCCAGTGGGCTTCAATAAATGAATACTACTTGTATGGAACTTACACAGGAGAATGTACATGGACGAACAGAGTTTTGAAGTTGTAAATGATTAAAGTTTGGAGCCAACCAGCTCCATGAAGAAGTAGTATACAAAAGCAACAACACTAAGAACAGGGTGAAAGATCAATCTCTCTCTCGTTTTTGTTTCTTTTTCCCTTTTGAAGATTGATATTGACTAAAACATACACATTACAAGATGATTCCCCAATTAATTCCCTGACTAATATGAAATTGACTAAAACGATTATACAAGAATCAGATAATCAGAGATAGGACTCACTTTCGGTATCCAACTCAGTAGTGGAATTGCACTGTATAAAACCTGCCTTTTTGGTCAGAATTTTTTGTTTTTTGAAATTTTATAATATTGCTTTTCAAGAAATGAAATATAAGTTCCAACATATTTGACACTCCCACACATTTGTTCAAAAATTTATAGTCAACAAACTTCCAAAATGGTGGTAAACCGTAAAAACCCACAACAAACCAGATTACTCAATCAGGCAGAAAATCTAAAAAGCAAGAAAAAGAAGATAGATTAAAACCTACAAATTCTAATTATAACTTGCAAATGCAATTAAAATAAGTTTTCACCAAAGAAAAGTGAAGAGGTTCAAATGCTTATAATAAACAAAGCTGATGAGACAAAAGGAATAGAGTAAAATTTTAGTTTTACCACTCACAAGAACAAAAATTATATTTGAATTCTGCATCTAGTTTCCCCCATTTTCCTTGTTAGTCATTGTTGTTGCACCAAAACAAACCGTACCAGATGAGATATAAACCAGGAATTTCAAATTTTTCTCTCATATTTCCTTGAAAATAGGAGCTAAGGTTGGACTAACATACCACATACTGTACTATCTCAGTTACCGTTAGCATCAGATTCCGGAAACTCACTTCAATCAGAAGAAACAACCATAGCTTGCTTGTTTGTTTATCTACGCAATTTCTTCAAAATCTTCATCAGATGTAGTGGCAGGTAAGTGAACTCACCTAGAAAAGTCTATAACTTGAGCTACATCAGACAACTGATCTGGCTCATTGATCCCATTTAGGCGTCTTATGGCAACTAGGCTCTCCCTGTAGAGCAAGGGGTAGGGTTCTATCCGGGATCCAAGATCCTTGACCTGTTCAGTCTCTGGATCATACAAACCCAAAGTACCATCACCATCAGCTTTAATGAAAAGCAGACCCTTCTTCCAAATCCCCAGCACTGTAGTGTGGGGGATATCAACTCTTGCATGTTGAGTCCAACCCTCATCTCCCCTCATCACCCATACGTCAACAGAAGTTGTATAACAATCCATAAGATCATAGTAACACAGAGCAAGAGAGTTGTCGTAGGTGGTAAGAACTCCATATTGTGGACGTGGAAGACCACCAGGTAGCTTGGCAAAGGACTCGGTCGTCAGGTCGAATGAAAGGATCAAAGGATGGCCATTCTCCATTGCAAACCAGTGATAAACACCATCAATGCAAGTGTTAGACATAGGGGTATAAATATCAGGACATGGAAGACCAACATCCACGTATCGCCAGGAATCAGATGATAGGGAATACACAGCGGTCGTAGCACCCATCCACTTTTTCTCCCCAAACTCCTCCCCATTGACCCAAATCCAAATCACCTTGTAATCAGCAGTAATGGGATCCAACCCAAATCCAAAAGTATCCAAACCGTCCAGCTGCGTTTCTGGGAATACAGGGAGGGACCTAAATTCTTTGGTTGCCGGATTCCACAGAGCAAAGTGACGATTTAACATACAAAAGATGCCGTCATAGAGACTGATATCTAGACGGTGGGTCATATCCGCCACCAAATCGCGATAGACTGGGGGAGAACCAGCCAGTGTTTCATCGTCATACAGTGAAAAATAACGCAGCCCGCCATGGCCGTCAAGATGCCTAACAAAGAGACGGGCACTGTTGTTGGGGTGGTTGTAGTGCCGAGCAACAAAACTAGGGGCTTTGACCATAGACTGCCAAGTTTTGCATACGAAACTTACCCGAATCACTGATTCCGCAGGAAGCCGTGACAGGATGTCGATCATCAAATCGTCAGGTAGTCGATGGATGTCACTCGTCATTGGCCCCCTTGGTATTGATTCCATTTGTTTTGATGGCTTCGAATGACCCATCCGTCAACAAGGATAAGATCGCGCACCAAGAAAGTCAAACCCCTTCTTCAAATGCTCTGCATAGAAAGCAAAACCCAATTGTGATTTTCTTCAAATGGTCTGCATTTTCTTGGGCTACCAGAGCAAGTGCAAGAAACATATGTAAGAGAGAAACCAAGGTTTTTGGTTAAATGCAAATAGCTAAAAAAATATATATAGTTGTACACGGTTTAAATGTATTTGTATTTCCCCCATAATATTAATTTGTACACGGTTTAAATGTATTTTTATTATTATTAATTTAATTTTATTTTTTCAAAAATACTTCTTTGAAAATGTCTCATGAAAAGAGAAGCCATCATCTTAAATTGCTAATCTACGTCCTCTGGGTTTTGAATTGCTAATCCTATTCAGGGTCAGTTGAATGTAAAATGATACTTAATACTAAGAAATATATAAGACTCATTAACCACAGTGTCTCAGTCCCCCCAAAACAGAGCATACCAAAATAAGCTATATAGAAGTATTAGTATCATTGATTAACATTTATATTTTCTCTTGGTCACCAAAAATGAAAATAATCCGTGTCACAGCATATGTTTATTCTAATCCCTTTTATAAGCTTGAATCATCTATTAATAATAAATTAATCAGTCCTGCTTAACTCACATTACTGAATTATTTTACATTAATCCTCTGTTTCATTGAGCGAAAAAAATGGAAAGAAGAAAGATACGAAACCATAAATTTCATAGGAAAATGAAAATGAAAACGAAATAATTAGCATAAGCATAGTAATCTGTTCTTCCCTACATATTCAAATCTACAAAGCAGACCAGATACAATAGACATGAAGATGTTTTCAGAAAATAAAATAAAATCGAATAGCTTTATAGATGATGCTCAACCACATATTCAAATCTACAAAGCAGACCATATATAATACACATGAAGATGCTATCAGAAAGTAAAATAACATCGAATAGCTTCATAGATTATGCTCAACCACATAAACTTTGTACCGTTTAGCTTCTTATTGCAATGAAATCATTTTAAACCAAAAAAATCGTGAACAGTGTTAGAAGATAAGCAAAACTGTATTTCCTCTGGTCCTCAAGATAAAACGAAGAAGAAAATAAAATTGAAAGTACCAAAATAAGCTATATAGAAGTATTAGTATCATTTATCAACAATTTTATTTTATTTCAGTTGCGAAAAAATGAATATAACCTCTCTCAGAAATCTCATTTCATCTACTCCCTCTAATTTAAGTTCTCTTCAACCAAACAGAAAATGTAACTCAGGAAAAAAAATGAATATACACCAAAAACGAAATCGGAAATCGAGAAAAGAAAAAACAACATACGAATATATGTGAGTAAAGTGTAAATATTAGCAGGAAAAGCAATATTGAATCTGGAAAGTCACCTGCAAGAAAAAACTGGCAAGAGAGAGTTCTTGAGGGTTTGAGAGAGAGAGAGAGTAAGTAGAGAGAGAAGAAGAAGGTTGTGCTCCTTGCATATGCAGGAACGAGTACGCCTGCTGCTCTGCTAACGAGTGGAGTGGCGCGATAACGACGCTCTGTGTTTCTTTTCTTGGTGTACAATTTTGGCACGTATAATGTACGCGCGGTTGAGTGGGGTCGTTTCACACGAAATCCTGAACACGTGGCGACATATCGCAGCGAGTGTTTGATATAAGAAGTTGATTGCAAGTAGCGATTTGTTACCCTTTTAGAGATGGAATATTTGATCCTGTGGGACCGTGCGTATACTCGACAGTTGGCTCTCAAACTTGCCGATTTCGTTAATTGAAGCAAACTTTAGAGAGGTGGTTCCAAATTTTATCCTTGCTCACCAAGAAATTAATTGGTTAAATGCAAATAGCTAAAAAAAAATATAAGAAATGAAAATATTTTGAACACTTTGAAAATTTTGATTCTACTTTCTGAGTAATAAAAAATTTTAAAACCTATTTAATTTCCATACCGTTATTGAAAATGACAAGGAAACGAAAACTAAAACCATACCATTTTAAATCCCAAACAAGCACAAAAACTCAAATGTGAAAATTTAAAATGGAATTACCAAACTGATTTTGTTGTGGTTTTTGTACACGGTTTAAATGTATTTGTATTTCCCCCATAATATTAATTTGTAGACGGTTTAAATGTATTTTTATTATTATTAATTTAAATTTTTTTTTTTCAAAAAGCCATCAAATTAAATTGCTCATCTACGACCTCTGGTTTTGAATTGCTAATCCATCCCGGGGGTCAGGGGTTTTAAAAATAATTATTAATTAATATATAAATTTATATTTTTTTATTAATTAATATTTTTCTTTATTTCTCACATAATTTTAAATTTTCATTATCGTAGCAGACTTGTTTATCGATCAAATTATACGCAAAGCCCACTTAGAAATTTGGGAGTATCTTTGTGAGAAATTATATTCACTTTAATAATATTTTAAAAATTATAAAAAAAAAAAATTAAAATTAAATGAAAGGCGTTTCTTCTATCAACGTTTAAATGGTCTATAATTATTACAGAGCTAAAACTATAACAATATTTATTATTTAATTTTTATTATTTCGAAAAAAAAAAAATACCCTTGATTTTCATTTTTAAGCTATTCTTAATTGTCCAAATGAGCCTAAGAACCAGCTTTCAAGCAAATTCGAACAAAGAATATTGTTTATTCCAAAATTAATGTAAACTAAAACAAAAAGCTTCTAAACATCCAGATTAAATTGTAATTATGCCCTAATAATTGATCGTCACATTCATGAGTACCATCCAATTATAACAATATCCCATTGGCAGAAACTTATTGTTTATTGATTTATTAATATGAAAAGTCAAGATTTGTTAAATCTCTATATCGGAATTAAAAATTTTATATTCAAATTCTAACTAGTAATTATTAATATGTCCACGTTGAAATCTACTGTTCTTCCGATAACATGAATTTTCTTCTCATAGATTTTTATAAAATCTCTGAAGTCAGACATGTGAATTTAATTCATAGATGTTTATAACAGAAAATTAAACAAATTAAAAAATTAAACTAATTAGGAAAAAATGGCTCTCATGATACTCGGAATAGCGTATACTGCCAAAAAATTAGGCATGTAATCATTGAGCAACTTGTTTCGCCAAAAATAAAAATAAACCCTGACTTCAAATCGGGAAAAATAAACTAATGGAGATCAGAGTTTGGTTCAGATTTGTCGGTCACCAATTGAATGCTCATCATATGTGATTCATGGATTCAATTTCTCCATTGATTGGAAAAAATAATTTAATACATACAAAGGAAATTTTAAAATTTTTTAAAAAATGGAAATCATCGGAGACTTAAATACTACGAATCATGGAACTAACCAATCATATTGTTGCAGTTTTTTTCTCATCAATTGATTTCCTTCCATTCAGTAAAAGCACATACAAATTGAAACAACGAAAACACTGTGTGTGTTTGATTGAGAGAGAGAGAGTGTGTGTTTGAATGTGAGAGAGAGTGTGTTAATCGTGTTTCGGAGAAACCCTAACGCCACTCGTATATCGATGTATATAGCCCACTTAGATAGAGGAGGTGATGACAGTTTATCCTGAAACCCTATATCCAGCGGCGCGACGTCTCCTTATGTTATCGTGAACACCCAATTATATTATGGGAAAATTACACTTATCCCCCTCTAATAAAGGTTTATTACATTTATCCCTCTTGTTGTTTTGAACATTTTGAAAAGTTTGATTCTACTTACTGAGTAATAAAAAATTTAAAAACTGATTTAATTTCCGTACCATTATTGAAAATGACAAGGTAATGAAAACTAAAACATTTTAAATCCCAAATAAATCGTTAATTGCGGTTATTAGTTTACCCCACCTGACAGACATATATTGAAAATGACAAGGTAATGAAAACTAAAACATTTTAAATCCCAAATAAATCGTTAATTGCGGTTATTAGTTTACCCACCTGACAGACATATATAAACAAGCAAGCAAGAGTTCTTTTGTTTGTCTTGGTTCTGGGCCTTGGGCCGTTAAAATGTTGCATCTCATTTGTTTGGGCTTTCTTGTTCCCCAACTTGCTTGGGTCTGTTTGGGCTAAAGGCCATTCTGTACAGTTGGCTTTTAATTTATGTATTAGCCTCACATTTGGAGAAAAAAAAGCAAGACACTGTTTATAAGTGCTTGTGTAAAAAGATAATTGTACTTTTAACTCGTGAGTCAATCTAATTTTCTTTATATCGTAAGGAAAAAAATCGCACGTGTGTATGTAGGAACAATGTTTTATCTAAAATGGTTTGTTTGATCTTACACTACGCCATTTGTTTCAGTGTAAAATATTTTTTTCGATTTTTAGATAAAATAATTATTTTTTATTATTTTTGATATAAGTCCTTGGGTTTATTTGGGCCAACGGCCATCTTTGTACAGTTCTCTTTTATAAGTGTTTGTGTAAAAAGACAATTGTACTCCCGAGTCAATCTAATTTTCTTTATATCGTAAGGAAAAAAAATCTCACATGTGTGTATGTAAGGGCAATGTTTTGTCTAAAATGGTTTGTTTGATCTTACACTACGGCCATTTGTTTCGTGTAAAGTATTTTTTTCGATTTTTAGTTAAAATAATTATTTTTTATTATTATTTTTATATAGGGCAAAGGTCTATATTGAAATTGAGGCAACTTGACGAAAACTAATAGGTAAATTACTTTTATTAAATTTTATTCCGTAATATATATTTTTTCATAAATATTTTATATTAAACAAACACCAAAAAATATAAAAAAATATATTTTAAAAAAATTTTACATCCAAACAAATAGAGCATACAGATTTTATAATTCGTCAATACTCTGAATAAATTAATAAATTTTATGGTAACATGAGCTTTGACCAGTCTGATTGGTATGATTAAGGGGATGATTAATTTCAGACAATCTAAGTATGATCTTTGCTTATGTTTAGCAACTAATCAAATTATTTTTTAAAATTTAAAATAGAATATTTAATTTAACTAATTTTAAATTTAACTCCATACAAACATAACTTTTGGTTTTGATGTGATTCATGATATCTAGTTGGATCCTTAACATATATATAAGATTCTTACTGTCTACATGGTTCAAATTTTTGTAAACAAAACTGGTTTAAGAGAACTATAAAAACATATTTTCTAAAGTTTGAATTTTTTTAACTCTATTTTTAGATAACAATTTTCATAAAACGAGTGCTTAAACTATATATTGTATGTTCTTCTACTAATCCAACCGATACATAGACAAAGGAAAATAAAAAATAAAAAATAAAAAATAAAAAATAAAAAATAAATAAAAAAAAACAACAACCTAATATATAGGCAATATAGTGTTAAGGTTTGTCTTGTACATGCCTGACAACTAATCCCATGAGCAATATAAGATGAGGGCTTAAATTTTAATTAAAAAAATTACTATAGATAAATTGAAGTTGCTCCCAAAGCCCAACAAAAGATGCCACCTCCATGTCCAAAAAAGCCAGCTACTGATATCCTGCAGGGAGATGCAACAAAAATGAGGTCCAAACAAGGAAATAATTATTTTGGATATCCACTAATATAATTATAAATTAGTAATTGTGTCACCATGAAATGCAATTTAAAATTTAATTGCGGTAATTAGTTTTGATCTTTCGTTTTGGGCTGCCCCCATGTTTGGGCCATCTTTTAGGCTTCTGTTGCCAATTTTCTTTGGGTTGTATCTGGCCTAATGGCCCACCTTTTGTAATTACCCTTACTTATATATCAATTGCTTAAATTTCGAAAAATAATAAATAAATAAATAAATCCTACCGTTAAACTTTTTAAAATTTTCATTTAGCTATTTCTTTGTCTCCTGAAAATTCTCAGTAAATAGTGACAGTGAAGTGAATTTTTATTAGATGCATTTAGCAATAATCTTTTATTATTTCATAAATTTGAAAATTCAAAAAATATATATTATTATTTACTTCTTATTTTTATTAAATAAGATAACAGGTGTGAATATTAGCTGAATATTTCTGGTTTCATTTTTAAAAATAAAAATAAAATAAGAATTTAAATAAATAATTTTGTAAGACATTTAGAGAGATAATATAATATTATAATATTTTCAAATAAAAATAAAAATTATTTGAATGGTTAAATGGAAATAGCTAAAAAAAATATAGGAAATGAAATTTTTTTAAACACTTTAAAAGTTTAATTCTACTTTCTGAGTAATAAAAAATTTAAAAAACTGATTTAGTTTTCTATTATAATCTTGTTAGTTATTTATCTGGACTCTTCTAACTTTTCTTTCCATATACTTCACACAATTAGATCCCCTATAGTGTGTCTAGGATCTAGATGGTTCAACTTATATTTGGTTATTTATTAATACTAATTGTTCCTAAATCCAAACAAACAAGAGGAGAGAAAGAGATCCTTTCTACAGAATTTATTGCTTCAGACATCTAAACAAATCCTTTCACCACTTCCTCTTCCCAGACTACCAATACAAAAATAACGGAAGCATCTGCCAAATACATCTCGGAATTGTGTTCTCAAGTGGAACCTCTGCAAGGAGAAAGCAGCATCAATCAACCATTTTTATCCCTTCAATGCAAAACAAAAATACTTCTGGCTCTGAAGGAGTCAAGTTCAATGTTCTATGTCATCTCAAATATTGGTAAGATTGAGGGCACCATCCGCACAACAAGGGGTGTTTTGTTTTCATAATCAATGCAAAGACACAATAGCATGGGATATGCGGGCCCCCGCCGGAAATATCAAACACTTCAATAATTTTTTGATTGCATAGAGTGTAACAGAGATGACGATTCTTTGATTGCATAGAGTGTAACAAAGAGGACCAGGAGTAAGGAGCTTTAGACGCTTTTAGATGCAGTGGCCTGAGCTTCTCCCAACCTCTGCCTCGCCTGAATGAAGGCACCACCGGAGGAGATGATTCATTTGGTTTTTTAGCGAGGCAAATTTGTTATAGGCTATGACTAATTTTTAGATAATGGGTTTATGTAAATGATTCCCTTTTTATTTATTTATTTATTTTTTATAGTAAGTGTATCGGCCCGTAACACACACACACCATTTAAATCAGGAGTGCGGCTCGAAAGCTAGACCTCAAAGACTTACTTTTGACAATCCACCTTTTGAACTTTGTAAAAACACAAAATAATATATTTTATATTATATGACACTTTCAGAAAATAGTTCTACGTAATTCCTTAAGCTTTGGTTGGTGAATGACAAAATCACCCCATCCTATCACTAATTTGTGTGATTTTTTTTTTTTCTTTCCTTGAGGGTGGGCATATTTGAACTTTCGAATATTTATGCATATGATAGTATAAAAAATCAGAATTTCGGGGGGGTATGTGCCCCCCCTAGGCACATGCTCCCTCTGCCACTAAGGGCATGCAACAATGCTACTAACAAGTACCGGACCATCTCTTTGTCAAAACCACCTTAAATCACCCTAGCATATCTTTTTCAATTGTAGCTTCATCTCCCCAATACGGCGTTTCATCAAAATCAAATGCAAATTCAGTACTGCAATTACAAATTGGGAGGACCTGATTCATTCCATAAGCACTCAATGGAAAAGGAATTTGCCCATGAACCTGTTGCGAAAAGTATACTTCTCTTCCAAGGTTTACCATACTTGGGAAGAAAGAAACGAGAGGATCTTCAAGAAGAAGAAATCAACACAGAGAGTGGTGCTTGCAAAGATCACCTCCATTGCCACAGCTCTGCTTAAATCGGGATTCTTGAAAGACAATCAACCTTTTAGGCAAATTCTCATGGATTGGAACTTGTCGTCGGCTCATTGTTGCCATCCTCCAAGATCGCCAGACTAATTTCCACTCAGATGATCGAGCACTAACAACCTCACCGGATCGAGCACTAACAACCTCACTTAATGGCTAATTAGCCGTTAATTGTGGTTATTAGTTTTGTATATCATGGCTGGGCTTATCCTGTGTTGGGCTGCTTTTTGGGCTTTGTTTCCCTTCTTTGGGTTGTTTTTGGCCGAATGACCCACCTTATGTAATTATTTTTAAATTTATATCAGTTGCTTTAAATTTCAATAAATAAATAAATAATTTACAAAAATGGGAAAACAAAAAACAATAAAAATTGAAGCATGCTAAGTTATGAATTAGGACAGATTAGAAATTCTATGTGGAATAAAGATTTCTAAAAGCCTAAATTCATTAACTTTGCATGCATAAATCTTTATAAATATTTATATATAAAAAAGTCATTTCCACAAATCAATACAGAAATGAAGATGGCAATATCACCCTTTTCTTTCTAAAGGGGAGGTCGGAGGTTCGAACCTCGATGGAAGGTGTGTGCGTATTTGTTTTAACTTCTAAAAAAAAAGAAAAAAAAAAAAAATGACAAATTGAGAATTTGAATTTAAAAACAGTCCATCTTTAAATTTCTTAAAAATGAGAGCAAGTAAAGAATTATATCTTTATTATGCAAGGTCTTCAAGATCAAAAAATCTCAATATGGGATAAATCATTAAATCCCTATACATCTAAAATTTATTTTATCTCCCAACTCCGCATAAAAATTTTCATCAAAAATAACTTTCCGTCAAAATTCAAACATGGGATTGCTAAAGAAGTCCCAATAAAAAGAACTCAAGCTATTTCTACAAACATACATATTAGTATATTACAAGATGATTCTCCATATAATTCCATGATTAATATGAAATTGACAAAAATGATTATACAAGAATCAGAAAGTATAGATTACAGTTGACATATATAATATATAGAGACAGGACTTACTTTCCGTATCAAACACAGTAGTTGCGCTGTATAAAACCTGTCATTTGACTCGTTTGGTCAGAGAAAAAGTTGAAATTTTACAGTATTGCTCTTCAAGAAATGAAATATATAAGTTCCAAGACATTTACTGCTCCCACTCATTTGTTAAAAAATATATAGTTAACATGCTTCCAAAATGGTAGTAAACCGTGAACCCACAACAAACCACGTGACTCAACCAGGTTGTACAAATTGTAATTATAACTTAAGAATGCAAATATAAAAAGAAGAAGAAGAAAGGTTAAACTCTACAAATTGTAATTATAACTTAGAATTCAATTAAAAAAACTTGTCAGCCAAAGAAAACTCGAGGTGGTTCAAATGCTTATAATAAACACAGCTGATGAGACAAAAGGAATAAAGTAAAATTTTAGTTTATCACTCACCAATAACAAAAATGATAAATTAACATGCCATTACCTTTTAGTTTTGCATCTAGTTTGCCCCCTTTTCCTTATTAGTCATTGTTGTTGCACCAAAACACACAATTTATCGGATGGAGTGACCCGTAGGTGAACTCATTTAGAAAAGTTTAAAACTTGATCTACGCAGACATTGTCGGATCCTGTTCTAGAAACCCATTTCCGCCTCTTATAGGGGCTAATGTCACGGGCTTAGAGTTTCAGCACCACTCTAGCTGCTCCCGTGCGGCACCAAGATGTTTCTTCCACTCTCGCAAGTACTTGGTCAGCCTAATTCCCGTGCACACCTTAGTCAACACACTCCCCTCGTGCGCTTACTAGTGTTGTAGTTGCACTCGCTCTCTCCTCACTTGGCTTGCACACTCACACACACTAAGACACTTAAGTTGGCAAGGAAAGAACACTTCTATTACTTCAAAGAATGCTTTGTACAAGGCTAGCACTCAAGCTCTCTACAAGGCTCTCAAGACTCACTCTAGGACTTGCTGGTTGCAAAATGAAGTCCTACTCCTATTTATAGGCATCCCCATCCCTAATGGATGGCTAGGATGCATTTTAACCAACGGTGGAGATTGATTCTCTAGAATCTTCTTCCACCTTCTACACATCTCCATACATATCTACAACATTCTAGAACCCTCCATACTACTCCACACAATTCTGGAGAATTCTAGAACCTTCCACACACCTCTAGAATATACTACACATATCTAGAATCTTCCACACAACTCTAGACTACTCCGGAAGACTCTAGAAACTCCACTTGCCATGCAGTTGCCATACAGCGTCCTCCTCAGCGTCTGCGTGTCGCCTGCGTGGCACAACCTCCATAGGCGGGGCGTGACACTAAGCTCTCCCTGTAGAGCAAGGGCTCGGAATAATATCGGAATCCAAGATCCTTAATTTCACGAGTCTCTAGATCATATAAGGCTATACGAGCATCATTACTATACAGAAAAAGCTTATCATTCTTCCAAAACCGAAGTGGCCATTCGAATCCTTCAAGGATTTCAAAACTAAATTGTTTTGTCCAACACCCTTCCTTCCTCGTCACCCAAATGTCAACACCTCAACCACTAGAACAATAACAAATCAGGGCAAGAGAGTCATAGTAGGGCGCAAGAATGCCATAAATCATTTTTTTTTTTTTTTCAAAACAAAATTGAACTAAAGAGTCGTTAATGTATTGTTTGTCAAGCTTTTTTGTGCAAAAAAAAGTAAAAAGAAAAAAAAAAAAAGAGGAGAAATTCAAATTTTTTTATTTTTTTTTCTGCAAAACTTCTGAATATTGTATTACTTAAAAGCTTAAATGGATATTGTATTGTTTTATTTAAAAAAAAATAATAATTTTCATAGTACTGTTTTAATTTATTTTAATTACAATTACATTTTATTTTTATTTTTATAATAAAGTATAGTCCTTGTATCAATATGACAATATGTTGTCTAAATTTGGGCAAGGAAAATTATTTGTATGGATACACGTATTAATAAAATGAATTGGATTATTAAGCTGCTGGAATAAAAACACGTTCACGTGCAATGGCGATAAAGGCATGTAAATAATTAATTACAGAAAATGAATGGATAACGTAGGCTGTAAAAAATTATTACTCCGTATTAGAAAAAAGGCATGTAAACTAAATCATTGCACTTCCAGTTTCAGTTTTAAAAACTAAAGAAAAAACCGTAGTATAGATTCTATATATGGAGGAGAGAGAAAACAAAATGGAAGAGAGAGAAAAGGAGGGAAGAGCAAAAAAAAAAAAAAAAACCGGGGGAGTAGAGGAGAAAACAGAGTATGTATGTTTGGGAGGTTTAATGGCATTGGGTGTAAATTGCTACTCCAATATTTTTTTAGATTCATTTAGCATGTTTTTTTTTTTTTCATTTTTTGAAAAAAATTACTATGTCATGATTTTTGATAATTCAGAATAAAATATTACCGTTTACTTTTTCTTTTTTCTTTTTTTTTTTAAAATAAGGTAACAGGTGTAAATAAATTTATATCAATTAAATATTTTTAGTTTGTCCAACATTAATGAGCATAGGGGTGGTAGGTTCTCACCACTCAAAATACAAGGGTCCAGGGTTTGAGTCCCACTGTATATATTTAGGCAAAAACAAACATAAGTGGGTATATAATAAAGTTGTATAACCAACATGCTAGTAACAAGTGAAAGTGAAGGAAAGGAAATTGAATTTTTTGTAGATGCATTTAGCATGAATTTTAAATAATAAAAAAATTGTAGTAAAGTACTATTTCATGGTTTTGATAATTCACAAAAAAATAAAAATAAAAAATAAATAAATAAATAAGGTACTGGGTGCAAATAAATTTATATTAGCTAATTATTTCTAGTTTCTTTTTTTAAAATAAAAGTATTTAAATAAATAAATTTGTAAGACATACAGAGAGATATAGAATATTATAATATTTTTATGAAAAGTTATGCATAATCATATTTTAATTATAGTATTAATATTTTTTTTTTATAAGAAAAAACACTTATCCAATTGGTTAAAAGGAAATAGCCTCAAATAGGATAGCCAATAAAAAGAAAGGAAATGAAAAAAATTAGAACAGTTGAAAATTTTTGGTTTGTGAACACATCATCGGGTAACAATTTATAGTAAGTAGGTGTGCGTCATGATATACGGGGAGTTAGAAAAATGGCAAACAATAGTTTGAACAGAGGCCTCATTCCTTCACTTGCCCATCAATATGAAAGTTTCCATTCTTCAACCTGCATCACCACTGACGCAGTTCACACAAAAAAGGCAATTGCTAACAATTAAAAGATGATGTAGGTGTTGCATTAAAAAGATTTGCAGCCTCTCCATTTCCTTGAAAATAGGACTCTGCTTGAGCTAACTACAGACAAGAATTCCATAGGTGTTCAAATGGAAGGGATTTTATTCAAGCTAGGGTTGGATACTGTCTCAGTTACCGCGGGAAAGAAACAGACAGATTCTGGAAACTCACTTCAATCACAAGACCATAGCTTGCTTGTTTGTCTATCTTCACTACAAGATAGTGAAGAACACGATTCCATGGGTGTTCCAATGGAAGGGTTTTTATTCAAGCTAAGGTTGTTGGACTAACATACCACCTACTGTACTATCTCTAGCATGCGGGAAAGAAACAGACACATTCCGGAAACTCCAGAATGACCAACTATAGCTTGCTTGTTTGAACTCATTCACAAAAGTCTAAAATTTGAGCAACATCAGTTGTCTGATGTTGCTCAATGATCCCATTTCGGCGTCTTATTGCCACTAGGCTCTCCCTGTAGAGAAATGGATGGGGACCCGTCCGGTATCCAAGATTTTTGACTTCCTGGGTCTCTGGATTGTACAGAGCCAAATGACGATCCTCATCAGTTTTCATGAAAATCATACCTTCCTTCCAAAACCCCAGCACTGTAATGTAGGGGATTTCAACTCTGGCATGCATTGTCCAACTCTCATCCCAATTCCTCACCCATACGTCAACAGAAGATATAGACATATCTGCGATATCATAATAACAGAGAGCAAGAGACTTGTTGCAGGTAGTAAGAGATGCACAGTTTGGACGTGGAAAACCACCACGTATCTCGCCAAATGAGTCACTGCCCATGTCAAATGAAAGGATAAGAGGTTTGCGTTCATTGTCAACTCCAAACCAGTGAAAAACCCCATCAATGCATGTGTTTGAAACAGGGGGAAAAATCCAAGGACACGGGATAGAAACATCAAGATCCCTCCAGGAATCAGATGACAGGGTATACACTGCAGTCTTAGCAGCCAGCCACCTCTTCTCCTCATATTCATCCACAGTAACCCAAATCAAAACCACCTTGTAATCTTGAGTAGTAGGATCCAGACCAAACCCAAAAGTATCCATCACACACCGACCAAGAACTTCTGGGAGAATGGGGAGGGCCCTAAATTCTCTGGTGGCTTGATTCCAGAGAGCACATCGACTGGAACGATTTGACATACAAAAAATGCCGTCATAGAGACTCATCTCTAGATGGTGGGGCATATCCACCACCACATCCCGATACGCCGGAGGCGAACCGGCCAAGGTTTCATCATCGTAAATTGAAAAATAAAACGACCCGGCATGGGCGTCAAAATGGTAAACAAAGAGACGGATACTGTTGGTGCAGTGATTGAAGTACTTACAAACAAAACTAGGGGTTTTCACCATGGAGTGCCAATTTTTGCATACCGCGCTTCCCCGAATGACGAATTTCACCGGCAGCCGAGAGAGGATGTCTATCATTATGTCGCCAGGCAGTCGATTGATGTCACCGCAACTCGTCATTGCCTCCCTCTTGATTGATTCCATTGAAACCCTAAACCCAAAATTTCAATCGAAATCAAAATACTAGAATTGAAAAAAAAATACAGTACTAAAGAAGAAGAAGAGACTTACTGCAAGGATTCTTTGGAAGAACCCATCGACAACTATAAGATCGCGCACCAAAGAAAGCGAAACCCCTCTGGATTTTCTTCAAATTCGCCTCTCTCGTCGGTGCAGTGCAAGAAACACGCAATATATAAAGGTTTTTGGCGGATGAGTAATTGGTTAAATGGTAGGAAATGAAAAATATTTTGAACACTTTTAAAAGATTGATTCTACTTTCCGTACCGTTATTGACATACAGAAAACTAAAACCGTTAATTGCAAAAGAAAATTTAAAATGGAATTACCAAACTGATTTTGTTGTGGCCTTTTTATTTTTATTTTTTATTGAATGATAGTAAATGTATTTGTATTTCTCCCATAATATTAATTTGTTATTTTATTTATTATTAATTTATTTTTTTTTTTCCAAAATACTTCTTAAAATGTCTCATGAAAAAAGACAACATCGTCTTAAATGGGTTTTAAAAATAATTATTAATTAATATATAAATTTATATTTTTTATTAATTATAATTTTTCTTTATTTCTCACATAATTTTAACTTTTCATTATTTTAACAGACTTGTTTATCGATCAAATATATGGGAGTATCTTTGTGAGAAATTATATTCACTTTAATAATATTTTAAAAATTTTATAAATAAATAAAAATTAAATGAAAGGCGTTTAATCTATTAACGTTTAAATGGTCTATAATTATTATAGAATTACAGATATCCATTATTATTATTTTTTTTTCAAGATAGAGCTATTCTTAATTGTCCTTTTTTTTTTTTTTTTTTTCCTCAAGATAGAGAAATTCTTAATTGTCCAAATGCAGCTTTCAAGCAAATTCGAACCCAAAATTGTTTTTAAGTCCGACATGTTCATAGATCATCACGACAGAAGAGCTTATAACAGAAAATTAAACAAATTAAAAAATTAAACTAATTAGAAAAAAATGGCTCTCATGATATTGCAATAAAAATGTCTGCTCAGAATAGCGCATACTGCAAAAAAAAATTAGGCATCATTGAGCCACTTCTTTCGCCATAAATATAAAAATAAGTAATCAAATCAATGAAGATCAAATCAATGGAAATTTTAAAATAAAAACATAAAACCTACCGAAGAAAGAAAACATGAGAGTAACAAAAAAAAAAAAAAAATAATAATAATAATAATAAAATGGAAACTGCTTAAAAAATACTCAAATAGTAAACTTAATAAAATTATTCTCCTTTTTTGATAGAGCTTCTTAATTGTCCAAATGAGCCTAAAAACCAACTTTCAAACAAATTCGAACATTAAGTGTAAACTAAAACAAAAAGCTTCTAAACACCCAGATTAAATTGTTATCCGGCCACATTCACGAGTACCATCAAATTATAACAATATCCCATTGGCAGAAAATTATTGTTTATTGATTTATTAATATGAAAAGCAAATATCGTCAACAATCCACGTTGAACTCTTCTGTTCATATATTATAACAGAAAATTAAACAAATTAAAAAATTAAACTAATTAGGAAAAAATGGCTCTCATGCTCAGAATAGCGTACACTGCCAAAAAAAATTAGGCATCATTGAGCCACTTCTTTCGCCACAAAAACATAAAATATAATTTTCCGTATAAAATAATAACTAATCAAATCAATGGATATCATACATACAAGGAAATTTTAAAATAAAAACAAAAAAAGAAGAAGAAGGAAATCATCAGAGACTTAAATACTACGAATCGTTGCAGTTTTTGTCTCTATCAATTGATTTCCTTCCATAGAGCACACAACGAAAACACTGTGTTCGTTTGATTGTGTGAGAGAGAGTGTGTTTGTGTGTTTGATTGAGAGAGAGAGAGAGAGAGAGAGAGAGAGAGAGAGAGAGAATTGGGCTAAGATCTAGGTTAATGGTGTTTCGGAGAAACCCTAACGCCCCATCGAAAGTAAAAGTTGAAGAGAAGAGCCACTCGTATATCGATATATATAGCCCACCTAATTAGAGTAGGTGAGACATTTTATCCTCAAACCCTAGATCCAGCGGCGCGGCGCGGCGCGACGTCTCCTTATGTAATCGTGACCGTAGGGCACCACAAAAAATATGAACACCCAATTATATTATGGGAAAATTACACTTATCCCCCGCTAATTAAGGTCTATTACATTTACCCCTCCTGTGTTTTGAACAATTAATAGTTTACCCCACTCTAACCAAGCAAGCAAGAGGTCTTTTGTTTGTCTTGGTTCTGGGCCTTGGGCCGTTAAAATGTTGCATCTCATTTGTTTGGCCTTTCTTGTTCCCCAACTTGCTTGGGCTAAAGGCCATCTCTGTACAGTTCTCTTTTAATTTATATATTAGCTTCACATTTGGAGAAAAAAACCAAAGCAAGACACTGTTTATAAGTGCTTGTCTAAAAAGACAATTGTACTCCTAGTTCGTGAGTCAATCTAATTTTCTTTATTTCGTAAGGAAAAAAATCACACGTGTGTATGTAGGAACAATGTTTTGTCTAAAATGGTTTGTTTGATCTTACACTATGTCATTTATTTCGGTGTAAAATATTTTTTTTCGATTTTTAGATAAAATAATTATTTTTTATTATTTTTGATATAAGTCCTTGGGTTTATTTGGGCCAACAGCCGTCTCTGTACAGTTCTCTTTTATAAGTGTTTGTGTAAAAAGACAATTGTACTCCTAGCCCGTGAGTCAATCTAATTTTCTTCATATCGTAAGGAAAAAAATCTCACATGTGTGTATGTAAGGGCAATGTTTTGTCTAAAATGGTTTGTTTGATCTTACACCATGGCCATTTGTTTTGGTGTAAAGTATTTTTTTTTTTCGATTTTTAGTTAAAATGATTATTTATTATTATTTTTTTATATATGGCAAATGTATATATATTAAGATTGAGATAACTTGACGAAAATTGATGGATAAATTATTTTTATTAAATTTTATTCCGTAATATATATTTTTTCATAAATATTTTATAATAACCAAACACCAAAAAATATAAAAATATGTATTTTAAAAAATATTTTACATCCAAACAAATAGAGCGTACAGATCAACTCTCTGAATAAATTAATGGACTTTATAATAACATGAGCTTTGACCAGTGTGATTGGTATGATTAACGGGATGATTAACTTCAGACAATCTAAGTATGATCTTTGCTTATGTTTAGCAACTATTCAAATTATTTTTAAAATTTAAAATAGAATATTTAATTTAACTAATTTTAAATTTAACTCCATTCAAACATAACTTTTGGTTTTGATGTGATTCATGATATCTAGTTGGATCCTTAACATATATATAAGATTCTTACTGTCTACATGGTTCAAATTTTTGTAAACAAAACTGGTTTAAGAGAACTACAATAACATATTTTCTAAAGTTTGAATTTTTTTAACTCTATTTTTCGATAACAATTTTCATAAAATTATCAACCAAACGAGTGCTTAAACTATATATTGTATGTTCTTCTACTAATCCAACTGATACATAGACAAAGGAAAAAGTAAAAAAAGAAAAAAAAAGGAAAAAAAAAAAGAAACCTAATATATAGGTAATATAGAGTGTTAAGGTTTGTCTTGTACATGCCTGACAACTAATCCCATGAGCAATATAAAAAGATGAGGGCTTAAATTTTAATTAAAAAAAATTACTACAGATAAATTGAAGTTGCTCCCAAAGCCCAACAAAAGATGCCACCTCCATGTCCAAAAAAGCCAGCTACTGATATCCTGCAGGGAAGGGATGCAACAAAAATGAGGTCCCAACAAGGAAATAATTATTTTGGATATCCACTAATATAATTATAAATTAGTAATTGTGTCACCATGAAATGCAATTTAACATTACCGACACTATGTAGTAGAGATTAGAGAGATAGAAAAGGTTTATCCACATAACATTAAATATCAAATATTAATGATAAAAAATAAATAATTAAAAATAAAAAGTAAGTTCTCCTCATAACAGAGATTTTTCTAGATATAATAAACATTCAACAATGCATATTACCAACCTCTAGTTCTTCCTCCTCTTGTGCATTTTCCACTGCTTCAGAATATAAGAGAGTACTTCCCTCAATGTTGCTTTCTTTCCTTGTTTGAAATTCCATAGCTCTGGTATTGTGTACCTTCCACTGGGGTTATACTCATTCATCTCCATCAGGGCGCTTGTCACAGCAGAGTATACCTCATCACCAAGCTCATTTTTCAGACCTTTCAGTTTTTCATCCTCTTCATTGATAATTTCCTAATCAGCCACACAAGTTTCCATATAATTTCCATAACACACAGCAAGTTGCTAATTTGAACCTTAATCTCATATTAATTCCATTTAAGGATGTACTATTGTTTTTATCCCTCCTATCTTTTAATAAATAGTAATAAGTGAAAGAAAAGTATCCTTTAAAATTTTAACATTATCTATTGGAATGATCAAATAAATTTAAATTTTAAACTATGTGCCTACATGGAATATCCAATGTTTTTTCAAGTGTGCAGCCGCAGAGGGAAAATTGGCAACCAACAATGCTACTTGAAATGAATAAGCATGTTGAAGAGGGAAATATATATTACGGTAATTAAAAATCATAATTGCAAATGTTACTCAGAAACACATACCTTATGGCCCTCACAGCCTTCAACTGTGATGATCTTAAATGGATGCCAGTTCGGATCCCTTAGGTAATCCTCCCACAATGAACAAAGCTCCAAAGCCTTTTCCTGTGCTGCTTCTTGTTGAGTGTGTTTTCTCTTGGTTGAAAGTTGGAATGCAGCACTGTCAAGCTCTCCCATCCGTTTGACACCAATAGATGCACGGGAAGACTGGTCCTTGAAGAACTGCCAGGGAAGGAAATAACTTGTAAGCCACATAACAGAAGGTATCTCACACGCATTTTTTTTTCAATGATTCTCTTTTTTCAGCATATGCAAATTAAGGACAACAAAACACATTCACCTTTCTTTTCCATTCATAATTAGTAAGATGTTAACACCATTGTCTTTTGGGAAAGACACCTTTTGAATCAGTACCGGTAAATTCAAATCGTGAAAAGGTGGTAGAACTTTTAAATAGCTTTGCAAGCCACTTTATAGTTTATAGAATTCATCAAAGCGGTTCCAATTTCCAACCTCGCAAATGTTCTTTCACATAAGGTGCTGACATAAGCAGCAAAACTGAAAATCTTTCAAAGTTTAAAGTCACAGATATGAAGATTCAGTGATAGCAACTAAAGCGGCAGATGAGCTCTAAATCTGTACAATCTTGTCAGTGACAGCTTCGTCAGAAATTGAGAAAAATCTCACAGAGAAAAGACTCAGAACATATCTACAGTCCATTAACCCAATGAATATATGCATTTGTGACATACCATAAGAGACTGTCTTCTCCAGAAAATCCCAATTACCTGAACGGCTGCCTCATTAAAGACGGCATCTTTTGCATAAATTAAATTCTCATCAGGCATCATTTATCAAGCTAAGGCCTATCGTGCTCTATAGATGGTTTATCAACTTGTTTTTACACCATGCTTTCAGGATAATCCCATAAAGGCACTCATTGCATGCTTTTTTCTGGCATCTTATTCTTAAATTTAAGCAAATATGCATTTTCAGGTATAATGCACTTAGCAGAGTATAGAGAAGTAGGAAGTAGCCGCCAGGCAAGTTCATGCACAAGTTCCCCATGCTTTCTTAGTTTATTGTTTTGTTTGTTGATCACTACAGTGAGCACTCATTGCTAGCTGTGTAGTTCGACCGTGAGAGAGAGGAAAAAGGATGAAGACGAAAGTAAAAGAGAAAACTGTCTTAGGGGTGTTCTGCCATCAGTAAACCTGAAATGATACTATTGGTGTTTAAGGCAAGACAAAGTTCTAGCTCTTTCTTTCTATCTTCAGTTTTCTGGTCGTCCAGAATCCTCAAGGCTGTGTTCTGGACAGACTAATAATAGAAACCAAATTTAAATTCCTTATTTTGGGTGCAGGTGTGCATTTCAGTTCAGACTTCTCAAATGCCAAAATATTAGGATAGAGGAAACAAGCTGAATTCTTCAACTGTCCAACTTTTCTCCACCGTGAACCTTCAAGCACGTGACGTTTTTATATAGCACCATGCAAGATATGGATATTTCAAAGTGTTACCTAACAGAGAAACAAAATAAGTATCCTAAATAACTTCTACTGAGCTAGGAAGTTTCTCCTCTTTTTCGTTATGAATTGTCAAAACAATCACACAGAGTACGTGTTCAAAATCATGTGTGCATGTTATCACACACATCTCATTCAAATTTTCACATCACATTTTGAAGTGAACATGTATCATTACCGTGTTTGAGTCCTTTGAATTAAGATAAATGACAGAAGGAGATTGGGCAATGCGTACAATTAATGTGGTCAAGAAAAAGAGTGCATGAGTTATGAGAGATCCTTGGGAGGTTAAAATCAAAGGTTACTATCAAAGGATTCCTGCATTTTTTGAATAGAAATATTTGCACCTGCAAGAGAAATATGAAGAAAGAAAACCACAACTTACATCAATTAACTCCTTTCGGGCTTCTTGCAGCTCATCATTGCTTTTGCGCTCCTTGACAATGAGAGCTTGACTCAATGCTTCTAGGCTTTCAAGTTCCTCTTCCTTCTCTTTCAGATCTTCAAGGATTGCATCCATCTTTTTCTTGACTGCTGTATCCCCTTCCTCTCCTTCTCCTATGTGTTTCATTACTTGTAGAGCCCCTCTCATTTGCTCTATCTCCAACTCCAATGCTTGTTTGGCATCAAGCTTCTTTTCTAGGTCAATAATTCTTTTGTGGAGTTTTTCTTCCTCCCTCTGCAATTGAAGTCACATTCACATGATAAAGTTCAAAAGATTCTAGACGATCATAATTTTTTCTCCCAGGTGATTTGAGTCAAAACAAAAAAAT